CGTGGAGACGTACTGCAGTTTTTGTGGGGAGACGGGAGAAGCAGAATGGGTAAGTAACCTAATAGGTGTTCAATAAACATGCAATATATAATTTTATATTCATGTTATTTTGACTTTTTTTAAAGATTGGCTGTGATGTGTGTCCACGCTGGTTTCATGCTGGATGCTACAACGGAGATATTGCGGAGATATTGGACGTACTTTGGAAATGTCCAGCATACGAGGCCGGTTGGCATTAAAACGCATTTGAGGTAAAAATAAGTTTCAAAGGGTTGCCACTTGACACTAACAAGTAGATCAAATGGCCATTTCCCGTTAACCTGTCCATTTAGTACAGAGCCATGAATATACAGTAGAAGCGCTACCCACGAAATTAATTCGTTCCGAAGACCCGTCGTATTACATAAGGCGTTTTACCTGTAAATGCCCTAAGTCCACGTAAAACTCGGACATCATTTTCGTATAAATTATATTAATGCTTAAAATCCAACAACTACATGTTAGAATTAGATTACAGCATAATAAATAAACAAAGAACATACGGAAAGAAGGAAGAACATAGTAATAACGAATAAAAACTAAGAACGGTATGCTTATGTACCTTTGTTTACCATCGTCATAATCAAATGATTGATTCCCAAATTACCGTCCGCCACTGATGGAGAATTAAGACCTGAAAACTTGTTTTATTTTTTAAGTCGGTTTTTACTTGATTTGAGTCGGCGCTAATCTTTCATGTCTGGTGTTATTATTTTAATTTTGCTTATTGATATCGCCAACTTAAAGTGAACGATATTGTCATCAACGACGTCGGGATAATGATAAAATCCGCGTTAGATATTAAATAACATTTAAAGGTCATTTTATAAACTCTTAATTGTAAGAAATGAAAAAAATCCTGTTATGTTCGGTCACTATCGAAATTGAGGGTGAAAACAATTAATTGCGACACAATTTGCTTTCAGATTTATTGGAATAGACGATAATAATTGTGAATATTGTGTAATAATTGTAATTGCGCTTTTTGAATTTCTTTCATGCTGGCCATAATTTAGTGCCACGACGCGCACGGCTGATTTCAATTGCGATAAAAAATAGAATGGCTGTGAATATTTTTTTTTAAATCGAAAGTTTGACGGCGCTAGGAAATGTGCGTCATATTCGGTATTCTCAAAAACACCAAAAAAACGATATTCGAAGGTCGCAATATTCAAATATTAGGTTTGTATTGAACATCCCTGCAATAAATTAATCTAAAATGAACAAATATCACTATGCAAGTTTTCGGAAAAGAATTGTTGGATTTTTCGTATCCAGAGCCTTTCGTACGGAGAGTTTCTACTGTATACAAGTTTTTCGTGATATTTTTTGCTTCCATTTTTTTGTGATTGGCGAATAAAAAACGATTTGTTGATTGATTCATGTGAAAACTTCATTTGGGAATTGAAAGTTTCTTCATACGTTTACAGTGATCGTAGCGGCTGCTATCGATCGTATCGTCGTTTCTTCCAACGTCTTAGTACGGTGTGCCATACTTCCTTTAGCTCTTTAATACAGTTTCACAGTCTTTCAAATTCTGAGATATTTTTTAACAACAGCATTAAACGGTTCGGCGACATACATATTCGACATAACAAAGAAGCGCCATAAGTGTCAAATCGTTACTAATCTTGATGACGCCACCTCATCTGTTAAGGTTGACAATACTATTCTGATTTAGGCTGCTGATGTACTGGGTTAAGGCTGCACGTTCACCGAAGGTGACCCAAATATACCAGCATAAGTTACTACTGAGGTTTTACGGAAGGTAGTGCTATATGGAGTGAGAGGGGGTGTTACGAGGTTGTAGTGTAAACCAATAAAATGAAATAAGAACATGATAAAACTTCAAAAATAATATTTAGTTATGGAGGAGAATGGGAATGATCAATAAATATGACAAGATTTCGCTTTAATTTATATAAATTTACGATTCCGTTGATTTTAACATAAGTTAGGGGAATTTCCCAACTTTCCGCACGGTGGAATATTTTTAAAATTTAATATTCGTTTTATATATCACCATCAAATACACTGTATTAATGAACTGGATGAGAAAATATTCTTTCTTGGATAAATTACGCTTTAACTGAGTTAAATAGACGATTTCTTAAATATTTTCATTAAATTGAGGGGAATTTCCCTACTTTCCGCACGGTGGATTTTTTTTTAAATTTTGATATCTATTTTATATTTGTCCACCAAACACACTGCATTAATGAATTGGATGAGAAAAAATTCCTTCTTACCTAAATTACGCTTTAACTGAGTCAAATTGACAATTTCTTATATTTTTTCTTCAATTGAGGGGAATTTCCCTACTTTCCGCACGGTGGATTTTTTAAAAATTTTAATATGTATTTTATATTTGTCCACCAAATACACCGTATTAATGAATTGGATGAGAAAATATTCTTTCTTGGATAAATTACGCTTTAACTGAGTTAAATAGACGATTTCTCAAATATTTTCATCAAATTGGGGGGAATTTCCCTACTTTCCGCACGGTGGATTTTTTTTTAAATTTTAATATGTATTTTATATTCGTCCACCAAATACACTGTATTAATAAATTGGATGAGAAAAAATTATTTTTCGCATAAATGGGTTATTCCCTGCGCTCCCAAAAGCGTACAATCTAGATTCTAAATCTGAACCTATCCTGGTACACCCTTTATATTCAGGTTGTGCGTCATCTTTGTGTCCATATTTCGAGAGTACCGAATTTCCCTACTTTCCGCATGGTGGATTTTTTTAAAGTTTTGATATTTATTTTATATTTGTCCACCAAACACACTGCATTAATGAATTGGATGAGAAAAAATTCCTTCTTACCTAAATTACGCTTTAACTGAGTCAAATTGACAATTTCTTATATTTTTTTCTTAAATCGAGGGGAATTTCCCTACTTTCCGCACGGTGGATATTTTTTAAATTTTAATATGTATTTTATATTTGTCCACCAAATATATTGTATTAATGAATTGGATGAGAAAATATTCTTTCTTGCATAAATTATGCTTTAACTGAGTTGGATAGACGATTTCTTAAATATTTTCATTAAATTGAGGGGAATTTCCCTACTTTCCGCATGGTGGATTTTTTTTAAATTTTAATATCTATTTTATATTCGTCCACCAAACACATTGCATTAATGAATTGGATGAGAAAAAATTCCTTCTTACCTAAATTACGCTTTAACTGAGTTAAATTGGAGATTTCCTATATTTTTTTCTTAAACTGGGGGGAATTTTTCTACTTTCCGCAAGGTGGATTTTTTTTAAATTTTAATATGTATTTTATATTTGTCCACCAAATACACTGTATTAATGAATTGGATGAGAAAATATTATTTCCTGCATAAATGACGCTTTAACTGAGTTATATTGACAATTTCTTAAAAATTTTCCTTTAATTGGGGGGTATTTCCCAACTTTCCGCATAGTGGAATTGTTTTAAAATTTAATATATGTTTTATATATCTTCATCAAATTCACTGTATTAATGAATTGGGTGAGAAAAAATTATTTCTTGCATAAATTACGCTTCAACTCAGTTAAATTTTAGATTTTGTCGATAAATGAGCTTCTGAGCAATAATTCATTTTATCGAGGAAAAAATGTGTTGTTTCAATCATTTTTGTTTTTTATTATGTTTCAGGTCTGTCGTCAGTTTCTAAAAGGGAGAATCACCTAATTTTTTGCATCCATGTAGCCGCAATTAAGTGAATTCGCGACAACTGTCGTGGAACATGGCGAGTTCAAATTTGGAAAAATTGGTAACTGTCCGCTGTAAGTGGCCGCTAGCTTTACCCAAAGCGTATATATAATATAAGCGAGGCAACGCTCAGACAATGGACGCCATCTTGTGCCTATTGTTCTCGGCAATTTAACACGGCGCCTTATGAGAAGTTTCAACACAATCATTGAAACATACCTCTTATTTTCACTAATATTTTGCGTAGAAAAATTTTGAAGGTCGCGTTTTGAAGTAGAATCTTAGCCGTACATGCTTATATCCTTTCATGTTGGCCAAATTACATTTATAGTACATTAAATTGTCTTTGAAGACAAGTATACCGGTTCCGAGTTGCTTCCGAAGTAAATTGGCCATTCTAATCGTCATAATTAACCATTTGACAATGGCGTTCCTTATGACGTCACAGATGAAAAGTTGTATTTTTTCTTCGAAATTACCGGCCGACCCAACTTTGCTTCAATGGCCGTTTCTATTTTCTGGTTGACATTTTTCGGTCGTCAATCTCTCATAATGCCCTACTGCTCAGCTCAAAGCTGCGCTAGAAGAACAAATGACATTGTAGGATTGTTGCGGAGACATTTTACAGCCTCAAATTAGCGTATCACTATGAAATCTTTGGAAATATGACCAAAAATGGTTCTACGCTGTGTTTGGGGTCAAATTTAGCGCATTGGTTAGTTTTTTTTCCTAAATTGCGTTATATATTAAGATAGCATATATCTTAAAGTTCAAAATCCACCCTTCAGTTTCATTCTAGCACTTGTACCAGCGGACTTATTCGATTCGGTACAACAACACGACGAAAATTTCCCATAAGACTCCATTGTTTCGCGTTTCCCAAATATGGCACAAGATGGCGTCCATGAACTTGCTTAACATTAGGCAAGTTGGTTGCCGGCCGTTGGCTTTACCTAGGTGCATGCGACAACGGTTAACGGATTTGCCTGAAATTGTACAAAGGCTATTCTTGTAATGGGAGATGGAAAGATGGCTGTTTTACTTAAAACTTCAATAGTGAGGATAAATATATCAAATTATATGTGTTTGGTTAGTATAGCCTACTGTGCAATGCAATGGATAACAAAGTGACCGAACAACGTGCTTATACCGGTAATTAGCTTATTGCAGTACCGGTATTGTTTCAATAATACAGTAACTGAATACCGGTAACGGCAATGTCAGAATGTCAATTGCATTTAGAAATTTAGATAATATATCACATTCAGGAATTTAGGCTATATTCGAAATTTCTAATTGCTGCATCAAACTAAAACTGTAATATGGCTCCACAAAAGAGAAAGGTCTATGTCATCGGAGTTGGAATGACCAAGGTATGTCTGTATGTTGTGCTAATAATATAAATAAAATACAGCAATGAGCCTACCTCTTTGGGTATCACACCTAGTACAACTACAAAATCTAGGGTGGTGTAGCCAGTCTGCGGACGATTTCATTCAAACCGCTATAAAACAAAAACCAATATTTCTAACTCGTTAATTTTTTCACCGTAGGTGCATTGGCATTTATTCTACACGCTAATCCTCGAATTAACCTTCTTCGACCAGGGGCTAAAGCTATACAAACCACCAAAGTACGACACTCTGAAGGCGTATTTGCCACTGAACGACCATTGTGCGACCACGGATTTCAAGCCTTGAACATCGTTTCTGCTGCGTCAAGACTAGGGCATACGCAGCCATGCGTGAAAAAAATGGGCTTCTAATTGCATTTCTGACCGTCATATATTTTAAGAACACGGTTATTTTGAACAAAACTCGTCAAAATATAAACAAATCACCGCATCACAGCAATCAAACAGACAAAAACACGGTGGTCGCAAATTGGTCGACGAAGATATTATCGATGTATTGGAAATGCGCATCCCCCTATTCCCCCTCCTCTAAATGTAGAAACGCAAAACCTCAAAGTTGGTTAAAAGAAACCCACCTGCCAAGTTTCATTTCTTTATCTCTTATATTTCTATGAATTTTCAAACTTTTTTAAAGGAACAATGGGTAGTTGGCGACAAAGAAAAATGGTCCTTTTTTTTTCTCTGGTCGGGTTTTTGGTCGTAACTTTTTTGTTTGTGGCCGCATTTTAGTGTAATTTCGCAGAGCTACGAGGGATAAGTGGACGATAATGCGCGAAAAATATCGTCGCGGTTCGTTAATTTTTTCGGCATTAATTTAATCGATGAAGTTGATGGTCGCAAATAGGTCGTGGCCGTAAAGTGGGTAAGCCACCCTATAACACCGGTATAAACATCTATAACACCCGTAGAACAACAATGTTTCACAAAAATTGGCAATTACTACAATTTGGACTAGACAAATTATGACTAGTCAGCTAGTAAAAGCACTGGAAAAGACATTAGACAATTCATGCAATTACCCAATGGTATGGCTAACTCATTTAATACACAAATGAAGAAAACCAGACTATCTAATTCTCTCCAATATCATATTTGACAATTTCCAGTATTGTTCAAGTGTTCTTGGGTTGGACACCTGCGGACCTGGGAATCTCTGTATTTACCAAATTGTGTTTAAAATTATTCACAGATGCACTTAGCCTCACATTTATTGGTAATCTGTTCCAGTATTTTACGACCCTGTTCCCAAAAAAGTTTAACAACTTTGACACTGATTTTGCCTTATGACTAGGTCACCAAATCAAGAAAAAACCAAGAAAAATTGTTGCCCATATGTACAAAAACCATTTAGTATTTTGAAGGCTTCTATTAAGTCACCTCTCATTCTTCTTTCTAATAATGTTGTCAGTCCCAAAACCCTCAAGCGGTTCTCATAACTCCAGAACTCTGTTCTCTGCAGCAGCTTATGTGTGCTGTAAACTTCCTCTGAACTGCTTCTAGATTCATTATATCGCCCCAGTTCACAAGGCATGCTTTGGTGATGGTGCCCATAATTGTGTACAGTATTCAAGGTTTGGCCTCACTAAAGACTTGTACACACGCAACATTGCATCCTTATCCCTACTGAATATACTGCTCAATAACCATGATATTTGTCCTTTTGCATGTGCAACAATTGTATTTATGAGGGTGGAAAACTTCAAATTCATATTGATAGTAACTCCTAGGTCACATTCACTGTTCTCGCCGGTTAGGACTCTATCCAAAAAGGGATGGTCTTTCCCAGGGTTTGATTTTCCCAGATGCACAATTTTACACTTTTAGAGATTTAATGAAAGTGTCCAATCTTCCTGCCAGGATTCCAATGCTTTTAAATCTTGCAAGATATCATGACTATTGTTAGGGTTTGTAATTCAGTAATTAGTTTCAGATCATCAGCAAAAAGTTTTGCATGTGATACAAGGTCTCCCGCTAAATACATTCAATACTACTGAAATTAGTATTACTGTATTAAATGTAATCTGCTATGTTGTTGCAGCATTGTGATGCATTCATGACTAAACTACAAAACGGAAGTTCTATGCTACATAAAATTATTTAGGATTTTTTCAAGTTAATTGTTTTTTGAAAGTTTGTCAAGTAACTCAAAACACCAGTTTTTATAGGTTTGACATGTTTACTGAGAGATATGAGTATGACTAAAAAATTGTTTTCGGGGACAAATCATATTAGAGTACAACAATTCTATGATCATAACTATTACTGTAAGAATATTCAATTACCATTCAAAATCTTTTCAGTTTGAAAAACCTGGAAGAAGGGATGATTTCGATTATCCTCAAATGGGAAAAGAGTCTGGCCAAAAAGCATTGGCTGATGCTGGAATAAACTTCAAAGAAGTTGAACAAGCTGTTGTTGGCTATTGTTATGGTGATACCACTTGTGGACAACGAGTCATTTACCAACTTGGAATGACAGGAATACCCGTTTATAATGTTAGTGCTGAATATTTCTGACATAGCTTATAGTTTGAATTTAAATTTTTATTGTCCAGGCATTAGTGGATTTTTTTTAGAATACTGACTGTTTCACAAAGTTGTTTCAATTGAACAGCAGACTAAAATTATGTGATAATACGAATGAATGCTTTTAGGTGAATAATGCATGTTCAACTGGATCATCTGCCCTTTTTATGGCAAAACAATTGGTGGAAGGCGGACTTGCAGAGTGTTGTATGGCACTTGGATTTGAAAAAATGCAACGTGGATCACTTTCATCCAATGTTAGTTCATTTTTCATCTTTTCACTTATACGACTAACATATTGGAATTAATATCAATATGTTATTATTATTATTAATTGTGTCAGTAGAACTCTGAGACCAAAACTGTAGTGATAAAGTATAATATTGTGGTGCTTCAAACATGCTTTTTCAGTTTATGTGAAAAAAAAATCGAAACTCTCAAATTTACTTTTGGAAGTCCAAACTAGTGACTTTGAAGCTTATTGGTGTATCTTAATTGTAATCCATTCTAATTGTTCGATTCAGTGGGATGACAGAACCAATCCAATGGACAAGCATGTCCAAGTTATGATGGAAGTAAAAGGAATCGCTGCTGCTCCTATCACACCTCAGTTATTCGGAAATGCAGGCATCGAACACATGGAAAAATATGGTCAGTGGGAATGGATAAAGTTTGAGTACACTATCATGGAATTAATACAAATAAGACAAGATATGTCCATATAATATACTATTTGTTGGCCTTCACAAAATACTGAGCATCTATCATATGTCTACTATTAAAATACCTGATAGGCTGTAAGGAGAAATGTATAAGCATTTTAGGTCATACTTCCAATACTTTGAGGTAGAATAGTTGGTTTGCAAAAATGGTAAATTCAAACACTGAGGTTTTGTTACATGGTTAACATTGACAGCTTATTATTAATTGCTTTGCAATTTGACCCGGACAATTTTTGCAGCGGTTGCTTTTTCAACAGTATCATTGCCTTATGTCGAAATACTAAAGTTATTCATTGACAACATATTTGCTTTAAAAGTACACACCCCATTGCATGATCGAGCATTTACCAAACAAAGTTTATTAGGGGACAAATACGGGTATGCCTTGTACTTTGCCCTATTGACTCTACTTTTACTGAATTCTCTTAATCTGCTTACAAAGGTCAAGGCCTTGCCCGACAGCATTTTGTCATATATGTCTCGCATAATTAATATGAATCATAATAAATATGTCATGTTATATTTAGATCACCAGATAATTTATATCAGTATATGCAGTTATTTTGTATTTGAGCTCAACTGGCTAAGAGCTGCACGAAATTGACCTTTCTGCAACCTTTAGGCGTCGATTTTATAAAAATTATTTTACACCTAGAACTTCAGGTTGCTTATTTTAAAATATGATTCATTTTTACATTTTGCTGTGTAACGTACACTGGATACTTGGACAAATACTGGACAAACTTGTTTTTGTAGTTAAATATTCAAGCAACTGTATTTTACGAAGTAGGCTACTTAGAATTTCCCTCGTCTATGCTGTAAATAAAATGAGCAATGGGACATAGGTTATGCACAGAAAATATGGAATAATAAATAAGTAATAGCCTGTTTGCAGACACTTCCATTTCTCCAACTATTAATAATTTGAAAGCATTTGGTTTTATTGTTAAGGAAAAAGTTTTTTGACAATAATAACAAGTACAAGCAATAATTTGATAAAAATGTTTATTGCTCCGCCTTGTGTCAAAGAATTCAATGTATGGTGCAATTAATGTGGGTAACACTACAGTACCTTTGTGATGAATATAACCCCAGTTAATCTAATTTTTTAATAATATGGTGTTAATTCAATGAATCTTCTTTTTAAAGGGACCAAACCGATTCATTTTGCAAAAATAGCTTGGAAGAATCACAAACATTCAACAAACAATCCATATTCACAATTCCAAACTGAATATTCACTAGAACAGGTGATGAATTCAAGGCAGGTTTATGATTTCATGGGAATATTACAGTGCTGGTAAGTTAATCGCAATTGTGAGGAGTAAATTTTATTCAGAATATATAAAGTAATATTGAAATTTAAAGGAACATGAACCAAATGCAATATCCAAAGACGTCCAAAATGTATCAAGTATTAAAATACATTGAAGACTTGGTATATTTGATAATTAATTTAAATTGGTGTATTACATTCTTTTAATATTAGCAATTTAGAATCTTCGAGCCACCCTGTTATGCAATCTCACTTGCTTAACGTGATCTCAATCGCATACCAAAGTGTCACCATTTGTGGTGCTGCTTTGGTATGTGTTTAATCTCTTAAAGACGTTCTCATAGAATTCAGTTCCTAACCCTAACTAAAAACACTGTGATCAGATCACACAACCACTGAGATAGTATACCAAAGTAGTACCAAATTTTTTTGTCAGTAAAAGTTGAACATTTTGAGCGACAAACCTGAAACATCACTTATTTATTAATAAAATGACCAAAATATGAACTATTGAAAATTCATGCATGCTCAAACCAGTCTATGTGAATATTCAGTGATATGGTCAATTTTTCTCAGAATTGGTGTCGTGTCGTGAGGAATAAAATAGAGAAACTTTTTCACAGTCTAGCTTTTATTTATTAGTCCCACATCAGATGGAAGTGGTTGTGCAATTCTCGTCAGTGAAGATTTTGTTCGTAAGCATGGACTTGAACATAAAGCTGTTGAGATTGTTGGACAAACTATGGCTACTGATCTACCAAGTACATTCGAAGAAAAAAGTTGCATGAAGGTTCATTACTAAGACTGAAGTCGCATATATGCTTTTTACTTAGATTGTGTACTAAAAATAACTAGAAATAAAGATTTTTTTGTGATTGACATGATTCTCTGAATATATTCTATTTTGAACATAACATTTTTTGGCATTTTCAGATATTTTCCTGATAATTGCCAAAATTTAATTGGTACTAAAAAGTATATTTTTGTTCTGACTTTATTCCTCTTGTGTAATATGTATTATTAATGAGAATTATTTTCAGGCTAGTGATTGGAGAGATAGCTCGTAATAATTAGTAAAGTAAAAACTATTCCTCAATTTTAAAATTTCAATTTCCTAGACTGTTGGTTATGACATGACAAGACGTGGAGCTGAAAATTTATACAAGCAAACTGGAATAAAACCTTCAGATGTCGATGTCATCGAACTTCATGATTGTTTCTCTGCGAATGAACTGATTACTTATGAAGCATTAGGTCTTTGCCCTGAAGGTAATGAAACAATATATTGAGTTCGATATGCAAGAATTTTTGTGAGTGGTCATGTAAGGATAGTATTTGAAACACAGAATCAATGATATAGCTATAGTTATCAAAATTCATTCTGGTATCTTTTCTATTTCTTTATCACATTTAGATAGTTTAATGCTAGCATTGTGCTACGTTTTCCACTCGTATCAAAGTGTTCTAGAAAAAGGTAATTGATTGTATATTTGCACCACATTTCACTGTATCGATAAAATATTGGAACCACTCTAATATAAAGATTCTAATTTAACCAAATTTTTTTTCAATTGTATACTGTGAGATTTCGGAAAAGTTTGTTACCTATTAGACCAGTGGTCAGCAAACCTTGGTTGGCAGACAAAGTTTTTGTGTCCCTCAACGACCTCACTTTTAAATTGAATACATAAAAACAAAATTTGCTCATGAATTTTTTATTATTTGTTCACATATGTCACATAACATTGGCTGTAATATAGCGATTGTTTTGTAGGCAGGTTTATATGTAAGTATATGCGTTATTTTTCGTCGAAAGTGCTATTGTTAGTTTCGGGTTCCTGTAATTTGTAGTTTAATGTGGCGATTGTATACAGGCAGAAAGTTAATGTGACCCACATGCTACTGGAAGTGTCTATATTTTGCCTAGTAGTACATAAAGTTTGCTGGCCACTGTGTTAGAGCGTATTAGAATTTTTTGACGATTTGTGCACTACCCAAATAATGATTATTGAATATTTGCCTATATATTTGAATTAAATTTTGCTAGTATTCATTCTGGCTTTTATTATCCAGGTGGTGCTGGTGATTTCATTGATAGAGGAGACAACACGTATGGAGGAAGATATGTCATAAACCCAAGTGGTGGACTAATTTCAAAAGGACATCCATTGGGTGCAACTGGCAAGTTTCAACAAAATATGAGATGTCTATCTATATGATTAAAATCCAAACTGTCTGTGAGAACAATTGTAAAATATATATAGACATTCTTGGCTTATTAAGTAAAATTAATTATTCCAGGTCTTGCTCAATGTGCAGAGTTGTGTTGGCAAATGCGAGGTGAAGCTGACAAACGTCAAGTTCCTGGTGCAACTTTAGCTCTGCAACATAACCTTGGACTTGGTGGAGCTGTTGTAATGACCTACTACAGACTAGGATTTCCAGAAGCTCGTAAAAGATATTTGGCAAGGTATGGAGTAATTAATACAGTAATATATGCAGTATCAAATATCATTATTCCATCTTAAATTATCTTTTAGCATTCAATATTGCAACAGCCACAGAGCTTCACGAATCTTTCTATATTTGAGAATCTTTGGTCCAAAATATGTTATAGTGATTGGGTGTAGTATTTTTTCATTGCTCATCTGTAGCAAAATTTTTTAATGCAATCGTTTTATATTTTATAGAGTCAGGGCAAGTTCTGTAGACACATCTGCTGCTGCTGGATTCAAGTCCACACCTGCATTTGAGGAAATTCAAAAACAAATTGAAAAGGTAATTTAAAGTATTTTGGGATTTTTGAAAATCAGATATATTGTACATAATGTCAGTTTCTTTATGTTTTGTTGAATTGCTTGCTAAACTATGACTGTAAACCTTTTTAAAATCCAGGACGGCGGTGCAAATGCTAAGAAGCTGAATGGAATTCTTGCATTCAAAGTTATAAAAGGTCCTGGTGGAAAAGAAGTTATTTGGACGGTAGATGGAAAAGCAGCTAAAGGAAGTTTGGAATTAAATTCAGGCAGTAAGTGATTGTTCTATACTGCCTCTAAAGCTAATTGTAAATCATCTCATGACGTTTTTGATAAGATATAAAGATTGGCTTATCTATCACCCATGCATAATGTAGTAACTTGCTTTTTATGTTAATTATTGAATGATTTTTTTTGAGATAAAGTTCATATTTTAGACTTAGAACACTTCAAGGTCCTGTAGATTTTTCACTGGATGAGTCGTCAGTCGTGTATGCCCAAAACTGTGTTGATTAGTCGAGTCAGTGCTTTTGTAGATAAATACTTTTTCAATACTGTTCTGATTGGTATTATTTTGATTTTTATCAGAAAAAGCAGAATGCACTATGACCATAAGTGATGCAGATCTTTTTGATTTAATGTCTGGGAAGTTAAACCCGAATACGGTATGTATAACAATACAATAAAATTGAAAATGAATTATTAACCAGTTGCTGGTTTTCAGGGAATTTGGTATGTATCTCATTACAATGAATAATTGAGAATGAATTTTCAAACAGTCGTGAGTTGGTAGGGAATGCAAAGCCATAGTCTTGTTCCTATAAATAAACAAGTTGTCATTTAATCTCGAATTACTTTTGTGAAGGAGTATACACCGGATAAATTAAAATTATCTGATGGCTTCCTTTTATATCTTCTCACCTGTTTTGTCGATGAATGCATAATGGATGAATAGACTGTCTGAAAAGCATGAGCAACCACTGTTCTTAACTTATCAATTAGTTAGTTTCTTCATTAAATGATAAGTTGTGTTGTCTTTGGAGTTTTTTAAAAGACTAAATATGTTTCATTATGAAAGTGTATAATTCTTTGTTTTAACTTCAGGCATTCTTCAGTGGAAAGTTGAAAGTTTCTGGCAACATGGGCTTAGCAATGCGAGTGCAGAATATCATGCCTGCCAAACCAAAACTTTAGTAAAATGTATGAATATTATTTTAATATTACTTATCCTACTTTGAACTGATAGAATTTTTTGTTATGTTTATTATATTGTTTGGGGTTTTGGAATTTTGGATTCATACTACTACATTAGAATACTTGCAAACAACTTCGCTATTTAAAAAATGTGAAATATTTTTTTTCAGGAACATTTCCAGTTTCCAAGTCATCACTTCAAGAGTACTTACAAGCATAAAGTTATAATTATTTATCTCATTTTTGTGTAATTGTTATTTTGTGCATTTATGAATTTATAATATCATGTTTTACTTCTATGCATTTTGCAATTTAATTAAAAATAAAAAATAATCACCAAATGTGTTGTACATGCCAATCAACGAAGTTGATATTTCAAATAAACTTAAAAATTTATTTGTCACATTGCTTTGTGACTTCGTCTGATCAGAATCTATTTGTCTGTCATGTTACGTGATTGCTAAGTGATTTAAGTAGTGGTCAAGTTTTTGATGCAAATTAGGGTTTGCAATCGGAACCAAAATTTGTTTTTATAACCGAAGTTTGGTCATCTCAAGCAGCATCCAAATATGTAATTTTTAATCGAGAGCTCATTTTTCGAATGACTTACTGTCTTTTTCGAATGACTTTCCGACTGCACAGATTGATAGAAAATGCTGTGTTGAAATCTACGTCAGAGGTCAGGAAGTATCTGAAGTTGTTCGACATTGGCATGGCGCATCGTGCTGGGCGTCAGGACGCGCTCGCCATGACGCCTCTTAATTACCCTGGGCCTGCATGGGTTCGAATCCCGTGGGGGATAATTATGTGCGAGAGGATTGCTGGAATCCTAGACGCATAGGGTGGTTCACGTAACCGCTGGTCTATTACGGCTTCCTCCACCATCAACCTCGTGTATCTGAAACAAATAACTGGCTATCCAACTCAATACCCGACATGGACTGGTAACCCGACAATTGGCTGTGGTTCGCCATATAACTGAGCCGTCTTATCGGCTTTCCTGTCCCCCTGGGTAAATATGGAAATCCTATCATACTTGACGGCACTATGGGGCGAAATTGCTTGCATGATCGTATTCGTGTTTGCCAATATGAAATTTATTTAATTGGTCTGCTTAAAGTCTGTGAACTTCACGAAGAACATGACCTGCTGTATGCTAACCTGCGAGGCCAATCACACAGTTTTGGCTCGGCGGTGCGGCGCATAACATACGCTCGCCACCGTACTTCTGATTACCCTGCGTGTGTTCGAATCCTGTGAATGATAATTGTGTGCGAGAGGATTGCCCTCGATGCCGTAAGGCATGGGCGTGCAACCTTTATCACAGGAGGGCCAGATACAAGTAACTGGGTGAAGCCTCGGGCCGCACCTAGAAACTCTACCTACGAAAACTTGAAAACTGCGTCCGAATATCGCTTTTTGTGTTTATAAGAATGCCGAATATGGCGCACCAATCCTAGCGTCAAAGGCCACGTTTTGATTTAAAATATTTCGAACTATTCTATTTGTATCGTAATCAAATGCAGCCGTTCGTGGCGCGACAATAAATTATCTGCCATCCTATTGGCCAGTCTGTTTCACGCGGGTACGTACCATGTGTTGCAAACGAAATTCAGTCAATAGACGATGATACGATGTAAAAAAAAAATTTGAATTGCATGTGCATCACGTTCTCTCTCAGCTGTCATCTTTTGCCACCTCCTCCGACCACTGTCCTTCCATTCTCTGCGGTCTTCGTTTAGTCTAGCCTAGTCAGCCAACGCCAAACGTAAACAAACATAACGTTCCTGGATTTTATTCGGTATTGCTCTGTTCTTTCTTGTTTTCGTGTATTTGTTACGGGGTTTGACTATTATTATAATTTACACAAATTTGTGGGTTTTTTGGGGGCTTAGAGCGGCATCAGGGCATTTACAAATAACTGGCTAGCTGATCCCATATCCAACATGGACTGGCAACCGGACGAGAGACCGTGGTTCGCCATATGATTAAGCCGTCTTGTCCCATGGATGAATATGTAAAATTCCTAACATATCTTAAACGAAAGAAGGGACAATGTTTACATGAATTAAAATTAAAAAAAAAAGTTTTGGGTGAAACGTCAGATCTCAGGGAAAATTAAATGTAACGGCGTTCTGGCGACTACTTCTATCTTTAGGTACGAAAAATTCAAATGAAGTGGCCCATTATTTATGAAGAAAGCTTTTTTTCTGCATCGAGAAATCATCCCAATAACAACAAGGCTATCGACAACAACGATTAAACATGATGATCCATTTGGCAGTATGGTCATTTCGTGTATAACGAACGAGGAAGTGTGTAGGGCTGGGAATTTCAGGGAAAACACTTTAACCGTTAACCGGGCAAAATTAACCGGTTAACCGCCGCGTGACGTTTGACGTAATAATTTATATTTTCGGCTTGTTACGTCACAATGCTTATAAAGCAATTTCGCGTGTTCTTATCCCGGTATCGCTTATTAAAATTATTCACGAATCGAGATAGTTTCATGATTGCTCTGCTGCAAGAGATAGGCAGCGTGGTTCGGGCGTGTGGAAGTATTTTAGAAAACCTGATTCCGTTGTTAAACGTCATTTATGTGACAAATTATCAGTGTTCGATGTGCAAATTCTACTTCGAGATATATATCATATAAAGAAAACGGCATCAACTGCGCACTTGTTGTATGACATTGAATATCCGATTTTGCAATGAAATCGTGAACAATATATTTCGAAATCGACCGAAAACTGATTCTGAATTCATCATTTTCAAATTTCCATAATCAGCAATCTTGGTACTTCCATTATTTTACACATTTATTGAGTCCTTACCCACACAGTTAGTAATATTCTTTTGAATTAAATGCCAAAAGAGATAAATTTGCGATGACGTAATTATATTTGAAGAAATTGTACGGTATGAAGATGATTTGTAACTGAGATGTCAGTTAACGGTTAAAATAAATCGTAACCGTTAACTAGGGTGACCATATTTCCAAATCCTAAAAGAAGGACACATCGTTTGGTAGAACCATATTCCACCTGTGCCTGAGATATACGCGTTATATATCTACTAAATTCTCTAGAAAAAAAAAGTAGAGGCGACAATAGTCGATGTGACAACAATGCAATAATGCATTCTTGTCAACGAGCAACTGTAGCCGCAAGTAATGCACTCCGCCTCGCAATCAGCTCGATCTTTTGCAGTTCTTAACTTTTGCAGGTCTGCCAAACCCCGAACCGCTATTGTGCAAGCTCCCTTTTAATCTCATCAACGGTTGAAATTAGGAGCGCAAATAAAACGTTACAATAGAGAAGCAAATTTTGTGCATGGTTATAGTAAATGAACATTGTGGTGTAACCTTTGATACCAATAGGTGCGTGGAAATAGTCATTGTTGTTTGTGTCAATTATTTCCTAAATTCAACCTGTTTCTAAAACTGAGCTACAATTTATTAGTAGATTAGGAATGAGGTGCTGCGCACGCAATAACTTATAACCCCAAGGTTTGTCATAACAACCCAAGGTGATTTCAACCTATTTTGTATTCGGGGTCTCATATCTCAACGCAATGCATTGCTTGTCATATGTGATTTGATAATTACAAGTTTCTACTTACGTTAAAATTTTCTCAATCCATTAAACAATGTAGATTATATCATAAGAGAATTTCAAATATTTAATCTATTGAAAAAGAAGGACATTTTGATCTTTAAGAGCGTCCTCGGAGGACATGAAATTTTTAACGAAAAAGGAGGACAAATCCTCCAAAAAGAGGACGTATGGTTACCCTACCGTTAACCATCTGAAATCGGTTAACCGGTTAACCATTCCCAGCCCTACATGCATCCCTTGTTTACCTTGTAGGACACATGTGGTAATCATTAGTTTCTATTACCTGATGTTAGAAGTTAGAACACTGCAGAATACTACAATATTGCTTGGATCTTTTGTAGAAAGCCACTAATGCAAATATTTGATATTGGTGAAAAATACCCCCGTCACGTTTTAATTAATGACAAATTAGTAGTTATCCACTTGGAGTTAAACATTCTGAATTTCCAGCGCAATCTGCATTGCTGGTATGTTAGTCGTTGTCCAAACTGAGTAATTACTGATTGTCCTATTTTGAGCGTTAGTGGGTGTATTTTTTTGGTGAGGGCTTTGTACAAAAGATCCTATTGCTTTATTGGATGAAAACCCAATAATAACTCAACTCAAAAATCATGAAAACTACTACTGTACTGTCTCAAACTGCCTATTTAGTGGGTGTGATGGGGGTGCGGCTTCATGATTCTGGACTTCGCACCCTCTCGGAATCGGTTCATGTTTGGTCGTGTTGAATCATTCGCTACGTTAACGGTTAACCAAGTGCTGCGAATTGCTGTATTGATTAATATTCTACATAACTTTTAAGTATCAGGCTATTACGTCGCTTCGCTGCTGCTACGATATTTCTATCTCGCACCAGTACCGTATCACACGTAAGGTTAAAACGTGAAAAGTTTTGCAAGCTGATTGAGTTGAACTGGTATTATAATCACAAGAGTCCAAAATGACTGCCCGAGAAATCAGTGCGAGCCGAAGGTAAGTCCAGCTATGTAAAATATCTTAATATGTTATACATGTGTCATGATTAATCATTGGTCCTTGACTGCCCTGTTTGCCTGTGAAATTTCTGACCGTTGGACTGCTTCAGTGATTGGCAGATTCCCGGGCATTGCATGCTTGAGTGGAAGTGGTGACTCCTCTTCGGCCCATGGGCCGGGGCCACGGCCCATCAAATTGGGCCTAGGCCCATCAGGCTATGGGCCGCGGCCCATCAAGTTGTGTAAAGGAACTATTCACTTGGCTAACACAGACAGTCCCCAAACTCATAATAGAACTATAATGTAAAAAATCGGAACAAAATTTTGCCCTAACCCTAACCTGGTACACATACTACAGGAGTTTATTTTTTGGTTCGAATATTGACAATTTTGTAGAAATTGAAAATTTTGGTAAGATAATTGAATTTTTCCTGACGGGGCCGCGGCCCATAGCTTGATGGGCCACGGCCCATGTGGCCCAATTAGATGGGCCGTGGCCCCGGCCCATGGGCCGTAGTGGAGTCACCACTCCTGTAGGCATGCTTTGCAGCTTTTGGTTTTCAGTCCTTGTATTCTACCCCTTTTGGCAGCCTGGAAATAAATATCTGGAACATTCATACTTTTGATTTTTAATCTTGACCATACAGGTATTGATATGTCCAATTTTTTTTAAAACTATGTCCTGATGTCTGCTGTTGGGGTCAATAATCGGATTTATAACCAAATTGTTAGTTTTGCAGTTGTAGTTGACACGACAAATCTTGTGGTAACAAATTTTTTCATAATAACAAAAAAGGGTCTAGATCAGGGTGGTCCAACAAACCCAGGCCCGCTGCTTCAT